TTTGTCTCCCCAAGACCAAACTAACAAGATACAATTGTTGCTGTTGTTAAGTGCCATCAAGTCAGCTCCAACTCATAGTGACCCTATGTACAACAGAAAGAAACACTGCCCAGTCCTGCGCCACCCTTACAATCGTTATGCTTGAGTCCATTGTTGCAGCCACTGTGTCAATTATTAGATATTTATTTCCTATTTTTATCATTATCATTATTTTTCCCCACAGTGTAACACTAACACTTAGAGGGACAACTTGGCAATGAAACATCACTGGTTGGGCTTCAATTCCTGTTCTGCCACGTGCTACACACATGGCCTTGGGCTATTTATTCTTTCAGCCTCAACTTTACTGTTAGTAAATGGGGAAAATACTAGCCTCTACTTCCTCAGATGGTTGCTAGCATCAAATGGGCTGGTGCATGAAAAATACTGGGGTGAGGCTGTGCTTCTCAGTAGGAAAGGGTGTGGGCTTGAAAAATTTTCAGTTGTTCTTTGCACAACTTGACCCCGGGGGCCCTATTTCTAGTCCTTTTTTGTGTCTTGGCTTTCTTGGAAAGTCTCTGAGAAAGGCCTGGATCAGCATCCTCTCTATGTGTGAAACACCCCAGTCATCTTCCCTCAGCGTGGAAATCAAGGCCAGGACATTCACAATGAATGGTTATTCTTCTCCCTTTGGGGGGGAAAAAAAAACCCTCACATCTCTTGCCTTTTGTGCCACTGCAAACATTGCGACATTTTTGGCGGGAAGGAGAAGTTATTTTGTGTATGTGTGAACAAGAATTTTGATAGACAGGATAAGTTGCAATCCAATTCTAAACTATAGATTTTCAAGCAGATTGATGCAACAAATTGTTAGCAAATAGCAGTTTGCAATTTGATGCTAATTAGACATAAGGCAAATATGTGCCATGACAAATTAGCAGCGAACCATACTGCAGAGGATTAGCGAGAGCTGGCACAGCTCACGCCCGGCTTCGCACACCTCCCTGTCGCCTGCGTCAGCGTCTCCGTTGGGGCCTGAGCCAGCCTCGCCTCTCTGTGAACAAGAAGCCAGAGCAGAGACCAATTGCCTTCCAGGCCAACTCTCAGAGGGATGCTTGGTCACTTCGCCCTCCTCTCTTGCCTGCCTACCTGCTGGTCAGCATGTCCTTTCCTGAGCACCTCAGAAGGTCCTGGGAAGCTCATATTATACAAGTATTCATATTATAAATTCAAAAATAATCATGGAAGCATTATAAAATACAGACAAGCAAAAAAGGAAAGAAAAGAAAATAGAAAATTAACCAAAACCTCATCACCCAGAGATTCACCATTAGAAATTTAGTACTTATCCATTAAAATCTTTGTTTTTATGAATAAATACATATATATCTTAATATAAGGTATATAAATATGAATATATTATATATACATTTAAAAAACACACACAATTTTCATTTAAAACAAACAAGGATCTTATATACAATTTGCAACCTTCTTTTCTCACTTTATTTTACATTGTGTTTTTTTTTACAAGTCGTTGCCTGTGGATCCACATCTTTTTTTTGTTTTAATAGTTACATAGTATTTTCTTCTATTAATCCACCCATTAATGTAGTCATTCATCCTCTGCTGTTGAACACCTGGATTACTTTCTGCTACCGAAACACTGCAACAGTAGGCCGGCTTGCAAATTCATTCCTGCACAAGTGTGTGTATTCCTAAGGATACATTCTACAAGAGGGATGAGGGATTTACAGCAGTAAGTTTGTATCAATTCTCTCCCATCAGCAGGTTAGAACATCCATTTTCCTGAACCTTAACCAACACTGGTTACATTTTAAATCTTTACTAATTAGATATTAATTGTATGGCCAAAAAAGTTACCCTGTTTACATTTGCATACCTTTGTTTATTAATTAGGTCGATCATTTTTCAGGAATCTTAAATCACTCACTACTGACCTCCTCAGATAGTCTCAGATCCTCACACTACCTTCCAATAATCCTTGGAAACTGAATGGAGTTCATGTTCAAAATGGTTTTGCTCAATTTCTCTATCCATTATACAGATTTTCATGAGATTTTAAAGTCATGGCATGAAGCAATGCAGCATTTCGCAAACTTGCATCATCACAAGAAACGCCTGTGGGGTGTCTTCACAATCGAAGTCCCCTCCCTACCCTAAATATTCTGATTCAGCTACCTTGGAAAGGGGTTTAGGTGTTCCTCAGTTATTGCTTCTCATTGGGCGTCTTTGGTAAACATTGCTGGAAGGTGTAGAAAGTGCTTAGCACAGTCCTTAACTCACTGGTGTCCCCCACCACCATGGTAGTTGTTATTCCTGGGAGTTGATGGGCCAGATCCTGGAGCCATGGGGTGAAGCCATGGGGTGAAGGCTGGTCCTGCTGTGGGAAGAAGATCAGGTGCTCCTGCTCTTGTCCCTGGGGCTGCCCCAGTTCTGGCATGCAATCGAGAGACCTGGGTTCAAGCTCCAGGTCTGGAAGCCACTATTCTATGAACTTGGGCAGGGAAGTCTCAGAGTTTTTGTGCCCTATGCACACAATGAGACAAGAGCAGCATAAATAATGTAATGCCAGGGATAAAATCAGTATTTATGTGCACTTTCACATCTGAATGATCATGGTAGGTGGAAATGTGTGATGAAAAGGCGTGAAAAGTTGTAAAGTGATCTGGAATTCCATCAGGTACCATCAGGCATTGCATGGGAGTAGAAGGTCTCAATGTTGCCAGTAATAGATTTGGAAACTGTTATTTTGGTTCATATAATATATGCTACGTGTGTCTTGTTTGTGTTTCTACACAGATATGTTCAAACTCCATATACGGGTAAGCACAACCCTCTGTGACGATGTCTAGTCACCTCTGTAGAGGCATTATATGTATTTCCAAATTAAAAAAAAAAACTATTGCTATGTAATTGGCGTACCATAAAATTCACCATTTTAAATTCTACAATTCATTGGTTTTAAACCTTATGTCCAACTTAAAGCAATTATTATTATTCTCATCAGAATGGATGGTCCTATTGGAATACTGTTTTTGAAACTTGACCATTTGTGCATTTTAAAAAATCACAGTAATGTTTTTAATAAATAAATAAGATGCTATGAAATATCTTTATATTTGAGCATATAAGATCAATATATATATACTATGTGTGTTGGTGACTGATTTTTTTTTCCCCCTTACTGGTCCTGGTCATTCTGGGTATATTTTTTGGATTATATTTTCTAACTGATATTGCTTTATTTCAGGAAAGTGATTAATTTTTAATGTTTATTATTTGGTCACCTCACTAAAGTTTATTATTAGATATAATTGATTGTCAGGTACATTTTTATGTAGATAATCACAATATATGTAAATAAATGGGCTGTTTTTCCTCTTTTCTAAATTTATACTTTGTATAGCTTTTTCTAGTCTCACTGTTTCGGATAGAACTTTCAGAAAAATGTTAAATTATGGTGATGATAATCGGCATCCTTGTAAAGATGCTCCCTTTAAAGAAGATAGTTCTAGGATTTCATTACTAGCTATAATGGTGATGATTGCTTTGAGATAGAGTTCTTTTTTATCATGTTACAGAGTTAACATTTTAATTTTAGTAATATATGCATATAAAAAAGCAGGAAGGCTGTTGAATTTTACCAAATGTCTTTTCCTCAACTGAGGATAATATTGTGGTTTTCCTTTGTCATATCTATAACCCTAATTATATTAATATTATATTTCCTAGTGTTGAACCATATTTACCTTCCTAGAATAAGACAGACTTGATAATAGTTTATTTGCTATTTTAATATACTGCTGGATATGATTTGTTGGAGCTTTTAAGCAGAAGGACTAGAATATCAAAGCTATGGATGTAAGAAAGCATCTGACATGTTGGCTGAACCATGAGCAGAACAGTTGGTTTGGAACACAGGGTATGTGAGAGAGTAGTGGGAGATGACACTGGAAAAATACAGTGGGATACATTTATGGACAGAAGGCCTTGGTGCCTGCATCAAAGATGTAAATGCTAGATATGTAGATTGCTGACAGTTGAAGCCTTGAGAAGAGGTGAGAGGCTCTGGAGGGTATTTGGAATGAAAGGAAAAAAGCACTCTGATTAAAACTGAGAAATGTCCAACTTTTCAGAATACATTTTTGAAAATGATTCGGTGACAAGGACCTGTGAGGTCCCCGAAATAGGAGAAGAGCTGGAGGAGAGCAGTGGTAGGGAAAACAAAAGGGGCAAGAGCTCCAAGAAAGAGGCACCGGTCAGTGGTGGACGGAGAGGATGAGAAATGAGAAATAGATTTGGGTCTGGTTATTAGTGTATTTTTAGACAGCAGGTCTAGATCATATTAAAAGAAGTTAAAGAGTTAAGAGACGGCAGTAAAGAGGAGTATCTTCTTCTTCTTCTTATCATTATTATTATTAAAGTTATTTGCACTCAGATTGTTGACATATGATCCAGAAGTTGTAGGAAAATAATTCAGCCATATTAAAACATTTTGTGGCTATAGGAACACACACAATTATGGGAGCAAAACCAATGAAGTGGAAAAACAGCAGGAAATAACTCAGGAAAACAGGGTTTAATTTCTTTCTTATGCCCTCTAGGGGAATTCTCCAGACAGTTTTGAGAAGGATCAGTAATGAATGTTGCCATGAATATATTTTCCTTGCAAATCTTTATTTAAACAGTATATAATAGGCTGGATCTTGCAAGGACTCTATCCTGCCTGGGCCAGTGGGAAGCCCTGGGGTTTGAGGAGTTGGCTATGGCCAGAGAATACCTTCCTTGCACAACAGAAAGACCAGTCACTGTGGCTGCTGTGAGCTTAAAACAATGATATCACGATGAACTAATGCATCTAGTCTTTTGAGAATCCTTTGTTACTAATGAGAGTCAAATCAGTATGTTTGTGAATGATTTACTTAAAAAGAATAAAGATTTACATCTAACCCTATAATAATATTGTTCTAACTTCCTTACTTTCAATTGTTTTCTAGGTGGGGGAAAATGGTTGATGTTACAACTAGAAACCTAGAAACTGGGCAGAGCACAAAGAAGGTCCCATGAACAGTTCAGAATGCATCATTGTGGTATTTACTGATGATTTCGTCTACTTCTTCGTAAATCTTCGGGCATTCAGCTGAGAAAGAGGTACACACACGGAAATATGCCCCTCTATTTCGCCGTCGTCCTCAACATATATGCTCTGTGAAGGGGAAAAGGAAGGAATCTTGAATTTGTGTGTGTGTCATTATTCCTCACATCAGCTGCCCTTTTACAAAGTGCCAGGCAAGTTGTTTCCAGAGATGCCAGATCTAGACCCCTCACATAAGTTTATATTGCACTCTCCTTTTTTTGATAACCTCAATTTTTCATCTGAGCTATAAAGCTTGGACGCTAGCTGAACTTACTCAGAGGCGTTGCCCTCTGGGCTTCATTTTGAATGAGTCATTTGGAGTGTTTGCAAAAATGCAGATCACCAGCATCACTTCTCCAACCCTGAGATTCTAATTCACCATGGTTGGGATGGGGCCTAAGAATCTAATTATGCACAAGCTGTCTGTGCATTCAAACATAGGTGGCTCTCAGACTACACTTGATTATCTTTTTAATAGCTGCAGGGTCTGTAGTGATGTCCCTTCTCATTTCTGATATAGGTAATTTGTTCTCTCTCTCTCTCTTTGAGGTAAGTCTGGCTAGAGGTTTATCAATTTTATTGATATTTTCAAAGAACCAGCTTTCAGTTCTGTTAATTTTCTCTATTATTTTCCTGCTTTCAATTTCATTGATTTCTGCTTACTATTTCTTTCCTTCTGTTTATTTTGGGTTTAATTTGCCTTCCTTTTTTCTAGTTTCTTAAAGTAGAATCTTAGGTGATCAACTTCAGACCTTTCTTTTTTCCTAATATAAGCGTTCAACGCTATAAATTTTCCTGTAAACACTGCTTTAGTTGTATCCCACAAATTTAATATGATGTGTTCTCATTTTCATTCAGTCCAAAATATTTTCTAATTTCTGTAGAGTATTATTTACGTTTTGACCCATTTGTGCTTTTAAATTGAAAGTGGGGTTCTTAGGGGATAGAATAAGTTTAGTTTTTCTTTTTTTTTAAATCCACTCTGAAAATCTCTGCCTTTTAATGTGTTGGCTCAAATCCACCAAGAGGTGCCTTTTGGTTAGTAGCTGAGTGCTTGACCATTTGCACCACCCAATGACTCCTGCGTCTTCTATAGCAGTCAACAAATCAAATAATGTATTGCATGGGGGAAATCTGCTGCAAAAGAGCTCTTTAAAGTTTTAAAAAGCAAAGATGTCACTTTGATGACTAAGGTGTGCCAAGCCATGATCTTCTCAATAGTCTCAAATATGGAACACACTGTGGACTGCCAAAAGAATGAACAAAACAGTCTTAGAAGAAATCCAATAAGGATGCTTCTTAGGAGTGAGGATGGCATGACTTTGACTGGCTTACTCTGGACACATTATCAGGAAAAGACCAATTGCTAGAAAAGAACATGCTTGGTAGGGTAGAGGACCAACATAAATGAGGGAAACTTTCAATGAGATGGATTGACACAACAGCTACCATAATTGACTCAAATGTACCAAGAAGCATGAAGATGGTGTAACAATGGATGAAATTTCATTCTGTTATATGTAAGTCAGGGTTGACTGAACAGCATCTAACAATAACAAAACAACCATATGACTCAACAGCATCTAACAATAACAAAACAACCCTATATATATATATATATGTCTATATATGTATGTGTATATATATACACATGTGTATATATACACATGTGTATGTATATACACATACATACATATAGACGTATACATATATATACACACATACACACATCTCATGTTCATTTTTAAAAGTCTTTTTCTGTGTTTCATTTTGGATAGTGCACTCATTTTTCTTCTGCAATTTAATCTACTGTTGATCACATCCTGTGTATTTTCCATCTCACACATTGTACTTTTCATTTCTAGAAGTTAAATTTGGGTCTTTTTAAATTATATTTTTCATGTCTTCCCTTAACATACTCATGCATTCTTTTACCTTCTTAAACATATAAAGTATATTTATAATAGCTGTTTAGTATCCTTGCTTTTAAGCTTTGTTAGGCAGGGAAAATGCAGTTGTTAGTCTGTGGCTAACATGACGTTACTATTAAGGCAATGCCCTTCTGTGTACTCAACCCAATATCCTGTCTATTATGAAGTTTCTCCACTTTGACTGTTGTCAGTGTAAATTATTCCCAGCCATATGTAACCTCTGACAGTTTTTACACCTGCTCATTTCTGGTGGCTTTTCCTTGGCCTTGATACCTTTTCCACACACATGTTCTGATCAGCACACAGCTGAAGAATTGAGGTGAATTCTCTGCAGATGTCCAGGGTTCTCTTTGTGCAGATCTTTCCTCTCTTATATTCCTCCATGTGAATTCTGGCTGCTTTGACCTTCTTAACTTCACAATTTTTTGTCCTCAAATCAGGGAGTTCACTGGGCTCTGTATGGATTTTTCTTCTTTGCACTATGGTTTAGAAACTTTCTAGCTATTTTAGGGCTCATTTCATTTATATTTATTCTTGTGAAGATTATTATACTGAACTGCCTGTTGTCCAGTGTGTGAAATACATTGTTTCATACATTTTTCCAGTTTTTAATTCTTTAAGACAGTTAAAACAACCTACACTTTAAAAATACATTTTCCACGATTGTATAATTCTAGCTTAGTAATTATTTTCTTTCTGCCATTTAAATATAGCTTTCCATTTTCTCCTGGATCCCATCATTTATCTACAAAGTCACCTGTCAGTATTATTATTGCTTCTTTTAAGGTAATATTTCTTTTCTTCTCTGGCTATGTTAATGATTCTTTTCTTAGTTACTAACAGTTGGACTATGATGTTCTGAGGTATTATTTTAGAAAATGTATTTATCATACTTCAGGTTTGGAGAGCTACTTGGATCTGGCTTTGACATCTTTTATCAGTTTTGGCCATTCGTGTGGCAAATTATCTTCTCAAATGATTCTTGACGATTATCTCTTCTAATATTTCTTTTGTCCCTTTTCTCTCTTCTGCCTTTCATTGCCGTCATTTACAAGTATATTAAACCTTTTCTCTCTAACCAATATATCCGTTACATTTCCTTCTATAGTATTCATCCATTTTACTCTATGCACTTCATTTTGGGTGTTGTCTAGTTCCAACTCACAGGAACCCTATGTACAACAGAACAAAACGTAGCCCAATCTTGGGCCATCCTCACAATTGTTGTTATGCTTGAGCCCGTTTTTGCAGCCACTGTGTCAGTCCATCTCATTGAGGGTCTTCCTCTTTTTTGCTGACCCACTACCTTACCAAGCATGATATCCTTCTCCAGAGACTGGTCCCTCCTGATAACATGTGCAAAATACATGAGATGAAGTCTTGCCATCCTCGCTTCTAAGGAGCATACTGGCTGTACTTCTTCCAAGATAGATTTGTTCATTCTTCTGGCAGTCCATGGCATATTCAATATTCTTTACCTACACCATAATTCAAAGGCATCCATTTTTCTTCAGTCTTCCTTATTCATTGTCCAGCTTTTGCATGCATATGAGTGCAAATGAAAATACAATGGCTTGGGTCAGGCGCACCATAGTCCTCAAAGTGATATCTTTGCTTTTTAATACTTTAAAGAGGTCTTTTGCAGCACATTTGCTGCATTCATTTCTTGACTGTTGCTTCCATGGTCACTGACTGTGTATCCAAGTAAAATGAAGTCCTTGACAACTTCAGTCTTTTTTCCATTTATCATGATGTTTCTCATTGGTCCAGTTGTGAGGATTTTTTTTTCTTTTTTTCTTATGTTGAGGGGCAATCCATACTGAAGGCTGTGGTCTTTGATCTTCATCAGTAAGTGCTTCAAGTCCTCTTGACTTTCAGCAAACAAGGTTATGTCATCTACATATTGCAGGTTGTTAATGAATCTTCCTCCAATCCTGATGCCGTGTTCTTTTTCGTATAGTCCAGCTTCTCAGATTATTTGCTTAGCATACAGATTGAATAAGTATGGTGAAAGAATACAACCCTGATGCACAACTTTCTTGATTTTAAACCACACAGTATTCCCTTGTTCTGTTGGTACGACTGCCTTTTGGTTTATGTGCAGGTTCTTTGTTAGCACAATTAAGTGTTCTGGAATTCCCATCCTTCACAATGTTATCTGTAAATTGTTATGATCCACGCAGCCGAATGCTTTTCCATAGTCAATAAAACACAGGTAAACATCTTTCCAGTATTATCTGTTTTCTGCCAAGATTCATCTAAAATCAGCAATGATATCCCTCTCTCCACATGCTCTTTTGAATCCAGATTGGATTTCTGGTAGTTCTCTTTGACGGACTGCTGCAACTGTATTTGAATGATTTTCAGCATAATTTTTACTTGTGTGTGATATTAATGACATTGTTCAATAATTTCCACATTTTGTTGGATCACCTTTCTTTGGAATGGGCACATATATGGATTTCTTCCAATTATTTGGCCAGGTAGCTCTCCTCCAAATTTCTTGACATAGACAAGTGAACACTTCCAGCACGACATTTAGTAATTGAAACGTCTCAGTTGGTATTCTGTCAATTCCTGGAGCCTTGTTTTCTGCCAGAGCCTTCAGTGCAGCTTGGACTTCTTTCTTCAGTACCATTGGTTCTTGATCATATGCTACCTTCTGAAATGGTTGGATGTCGACAAATTCTTTTTGGTACAGTGACTCTGCGTATTCCTTTTATCTTCCTTTGATGCATGTGGCATGACTCAAAATGGGAAGAAACGGCTGCAAACATCCATTAATAATTGGAACTTGGAACATACGAAGTATGAATCTAAGAAAATTGGATGTCATCAAAAATGAAATGGAACACATGAAGATCAATATCCTAGGCATTAGTGAGCTGAAATGGAGTGGTATTGGCTATTTTAAATTGGACAATCATATGGTCTCCTATGCTGGGAATGAAAAATTGAAGAGGAATGGCATGGTATTCATTGTCAAAAAGAATATTTCAAAGTCTATCCTAAAGTACAATGCTGTCAGTGATAGGATAATATCCATACCTACAAGGAAGACCAGTTAATATCATGATTATTCA